TATAAACCATAATATGTTATGTTGTCTTGGAGTTTAAAAGGATATATGTAAAGATGGGAATGGTGCTTCTGGGAAGCAAAGTAACTGGAATCTGCAGCAAGCCAATTAAACAAAGTTCATCATGACAAAATGAAAGACAGGTTAAATCCACTGAGGACAAAGTCTTAAAGCTATGTCAGAACACCTTTAAAAACATGAGAATGTATCCAAGTGTCACTTCCACTGGTAATAATGTCCAAGTATATGTAGCCTGTCATAATGGAACAACTTTAGAGACTCAAGCAGAACCAGAGATGCCAGACAATTGTTCTGTTTCCTGGTATTTGGTTCATCCTTCTGTACAATTTATATTTCTTGAATTTGGATGTTCTCATTAAATATCTGGGGTGGTGGGGTAACTGTTAGAGACTAAATGACAGTAAGTCTGCTTAAGTCACAAGCACCTTTCTCTATATTTTCACAGACCACAACACTGATATCCATTTTCAGTTCTCATTATGGCACAACTCCAAGTGTACCAATTACTATGGTCATATCCTTGCTTGACACTTTTCTCACTTTCCAGCAAAGGTCCTTGTGCTGATAAATCATCAGTTACCTCCCCTTAAGATCTAGGAGGTTTAAAAAAAGCATCCCTGTAATATCCATCAGTAGATGAGTAGTCAGAGTAAAGTGAATAACGCTTTGGTATAGGTTTATTCACTGGTTCTGTTTTTACTACAGTCCTGCTATTTCGAGAGTGTGCATGTATTTTAACCCTATCATCCACTCACACAGCTGCATTTACAACCTAACAAGTCTTCTTCATTTATGACTATCAGATCTTGAGTGGTTGCTCTAGACTCCCAAATACCAGCATACCATAATCTCTTTATTCTTTAATATGCCCTCTTGTTTAGAAATCACGTTTATTTTGTTAAAATTAAGCCATTTATTTGAATAAAGTGTCTAATTCTGAGGAACATTTTGTGAAGTTGATAATAACAGCAAAGTTTTTGCAACCTCAGCTTCTTATCTTAATTTAAACCAGCAGATATACTTTTTGCGTTCACACAAAGACAGAAGTCACTTGATTTATACATATTTTCCTGTTGTTGTTTTTTATATCTGCTATAGAATGTATTAACAAGTCTATTCAAATCAAACAGTCAACAATGAATGAATTATTAAATCTAGTGATGACAGCTAACAGACAATTCACAGGAAATACTGAGAATTATGATAATGTTTGATTTTAATTTTCCTGTGTTCTTACTTTACTTTCTCTATGTATCCAAAACCCATAAATTCTAAAGGAGAAAACATCACATGAAAACTTTTCCACTTTGTCATACATTTTCCCATATATATATATATATATATATATATATATATATATATATATATATATATCGTTTTTAAGATATGGTATATTAATTAGTATATTTTTCTCTCTCTCATATATGTATGTATATATATGCATGTATAAATGCAAATGCACTATACCACATTGATGAGATGTTTAGTGAGATTGCCAAATACAAAACTTTTAGTACTCAAGATTTCAAAATCTATCATCAGGTAGAAATATTGAAAGACAAGCCTTATTCAGCTTTTGAATCATACAGACAATTGTGGCAATTTCAACAAATTCTGTTTGGAGTTGCAAATGGTGTGGCCAATGCCCAAAAGTCATTGATTAAATAACAACATAAAGGCATGCAGCAATGACAAAACTGATCACAATCCTAAGCAGTACATGGCCACTGTTGAAAAATACAACCTTACACTAAACAATTGTAAAGGTAAAATTCTATTAACATACTATGATATGTCATAAAGAAAAGGACAATGCCACCAGACTTTATGCAGCTGAAGCCACTATGGGAATTACTAATCCCTAATAAGATCTGTCTTTTAATGGGCCATGTCTATGTTTACACCTTATTCCCTCTGGTTAACCTCATTCTCTGAAAAAATACATATGTTAAAACAAATTATCATTTTTCCCACTAACTCCTGTTGTCAAGGTCATTGGGGGTTGAAAAAAGATATCCCCAATTTTGCTATCATGGCAGTAAATGCCACTATTTCCCTAGTAGTAGAAATAAATGCCTCCTACTGTGCTACTGCTGTCTCGCAGACAATCTGATCACCCTGTAGGATTCTTCAGAATACTTTCTGTTGTGGCCTGTTTAGGGGACAGAAAGAAAGACAGGAAAGATGAAGGTAGGTTGAACAAGTGTATTGAAATAATGGATATATACAAAGCAAGAGTGTTAGTAATAAGCAGATAGAGATGTACGTCCGAATGGTAGGTTAACACTGCATCTACGCTCCCCAACCTACTCAAGTATTTATGAGAGGAGGAAGAGTTCATTCTGCTGTAGGAGGGTTTACCACAACACTTTCACAGTCAGAATGACAACAATCAGTGTTAGAAAAAGAGGCTTATGCCATTGTGAAGGCTCTAAAGAAATGGCAACATTATTTTATCAGCCAGCACTTTTGACTACTCACA